CTTGCCTGCTCACCCAGCCTGACGTGGTGGGCCGTCCCCTCGGGAGACGGCAATTAGTCATGGGGAAGGCTGAAGTTGTCTGCTGCGGCGTCTCCTGAAGATGAAGGGTTTGGTGATGCTGGCTGTTGTAACTCTAAAACGATGTGTAAGGAGATCGGGCCAAACGTAGACACTGCGTCAGCGGCCGGCCGTGATGTGCATGGTGGATCCCACACTCTGGGATGTTCCTCAGCACCAGCAGAGCCCAAGTCATGATGCACCCAGCCCTGTGCAGCCCCATAACCACCATTAAGGGCAGGTTCACCGCCTGGCCTCTGCAAGGCTCTGGGAACGAGCGTGGCAGGGAGGGCTGACTCCAACTCCCGTGCTGGACCTCTCATGAGCGCTGAGCACCACTGGCTCTCTGCGGAGCAGGGCTCGGCTCCGGGGCTGCTGTTGAAGTTGCTGCTTCTCCAGGACGCGCTGGAGGCTGGTGCGTTGATGACAGGAGTGACTGGGTTTCTTGTTTGGCCTCGCTGGAGCCAGCAAGGTTGTCTTTTTCACGTGAGGTGTGCCCTCTTTGCGGTTGGAAAGAACATAGACCCCGATGGCTTCCCACGTGATGGCACTGAGGATTTAAGAATAGTTGCTCGTGACAGGCGGAATGATGGTCCCAGTTCCTGGACCATCAATCATAGAACGCTTTGGGTTGGAAGGACCTTTAGAGGTCATCTAGCCCAACCTTCCCCGCAGTAAGCAGGGACGTCTTCAATTGGATCAGGTTGCTCAGAGCCCCGTCCAACCTGGCCTTGAATTTTTCCAGGGATGGGGCCTCCACTACCTCTCTGGACAACCTGTTTCACCAACCTCATGGTAAAAAATTTCTTCCTTATATCCCATCTAAATCTGCCCTCCCGTAGTTTAAAGCCTCCTTGTTCTATCGCAACAAGCCCTGCAGAAAAGATTTTCCACATCTTTCGTGTCGGCCCCTTCAGGTACTGGAAGGCTGCTCTAAGGTCACCCCTCAGCCTTCTCTTCTCCAGGCTGAACAGCCCAACTCTCTCAGCTTTTCCTAGTAGAAGTGGTGCTCCAGCCCTCGGGTCATCTTTGTGGCCTCCTCTGGACCCTCTCCAGCAGGTCCATGTCCTTCTTGTGCTGTCCCAGTTGTCTTTCATCGATAGTTGATTGTAACAAATAAGAAGTATGGACTCAATTAAAGCTATGGAAAGAGGCAGGTCCCCTGGGTATGGCAGAGAGTGAAATCCACTAGGGATATGGCTATCCCTTCTGATCCTATCCCTTCTGATGCTTGCTGGGTTCTACTGGGGTGTGGAGAGCCCGGGTGGCGGGGCCTGCTGAGCAATGTGCCTTTGGATGTTGTACTTCACTGACTTAAGTTGTTGGTGCCACTGTTGGCAGGGACAGAAGAGCCCAGGATTTTTGCCTTAATCCTGACTAGCTTGGGGTCAGCCCAGTCCTGCCGCGCAGACTTCCCTGCTCCACCACCGTATGCGTGACCTCTGGACACGGAATCATGAACATCCAGCTCCCATTGCTGGTTTATCTCAACAGTGTACCGAAACAGCTCTTGGTTTTAGTCTCACATGCTAAAGTCGTTGATTCCTCTGTCAGATTCTTTAGGACATGATTTATTTCCCTTTCTTCATTTTTTTCTGAGCCGGTTGACCTCCACGATAAGTTTGAGTTAACTATTTTCAGAGAACAGAGTCTTGATACGTTGTCAGCATTTTATGGGTTCCTCTGCAGCAATGTTTGATTTGTTCCAGGAAATCACTTGCAGACATAACACTCCCCTGCATGGCGACCATGTCCGAGCTCTGCACTGACAGAGGCGATTTCTCTGTATCCCCCGACCACCAAGCGACGCCTTCAGCAGCTCAAAACGAGGGCTAGAACTCATTCCCTGCGAAAGTTTCTTGCTTATTGAATCGATTTGAGATTTATCAGCAGGACTGCGGATCTCAGATAAAACAACCCATCTTTGTAAGAAAGCTCTTTCTGGAGTTGACCTATGGGAAACAAATATAATTCATCCTTGCTTGTGCTACTTCTCTACTTTATTTGAAAAGACATATTTCTGTTTTTTGGGGTTTTTTTGTTTTTTTCCCTGAGTCTTACCCGTATGCTCAGTGTCTGGGCAGAGTCCACATTCCCTTGTGCTGCGTCTGCTAGTTTTCTTTCCTGAAAGAACCTCTTAAGCATTTTTTTTATCCTGTGCTTTTCCCTTTCCTCATGGGTATGCCTCCTTTGCTACTTCCTGCACCTTCTTTTTATTCCTTTTTTTTTTTTTCCCACACTCGTAATATGATGTGGTGGTGCCCTTCTTTCTTCGAGGCTTCCTTCAGACAGCAGAGACCCAACTTCTGCGATGGTAAAACTTGCTGCAGCTTCGCTAAAACCAGCAGAAGCGATACCACCGTGCCCTAGTTGAGAAACTGGCCATGAGGTTGTTTCTCCTGAAGTTACCTGCTAGAAGAAAGGTCGAGTGTCTCTTTCTGTTCGTGTTGCTTTGCAGTCGCATTGCTTTAGGCTTGCTTTTAGAATCCGAAAAAGGGTTAGGGCTCTGCGTGCTTTGATTAATGCCTGAAATTTTGTGGCGAAGAGTTATTTCTGGAAAGAAGTGCTCATGTGTCTTTGTAAGATTAATGACACCGTTATTTTTAGCTCATTCCTTAGCAAAGACAGCAGAATCTGGAAGTACTCAGCATCACTACTTATTACATAAATAAATAATTTCACCTGTTCTTTCATGCTTTCTGTGTTAAACTCTGTGACGTTCTGCAATCTGACAACATGCTTGTCTCACGGCGACTGTTTCATGGGCTCCTTAGGCAGGAATCGTGGGATACTTGGACGTTTTATTTTTCTCTGTACTTAAGCTAGATCAAAAAGTGAGCTGCCTGCTGATACAATCCCAGAAGGCAGTGGCAGAGAATCACAGAGCAAGACCTGTATTATGTGTAAAGCTGCTTTCCCTCTGCTTCGCTGGAGCCTTTTTTGAATTTGTTCACCTTCAAGACTTTCTCCTATTGATACAGAGAATAGAAACCTTCCCAGTCATAAACTAAGCCTTAATCTCCTGTGTCTCCGTAAAAGGATTTAGTGACATGCATTGTTTGATTCCCAATGCCAACCTTCTGTACAAGAGTTCAGAAAATCTTTTGATGCCGGCAGCAGTTTATACACGGAGTTCTTTGCATGATCAGCAGTCTCCAGTGTCGTTGTGTGAACTCTCCAGAATCTGCAGTGAAGCCTGCGGATCGCGTGGTGCCTTCTCGGAGGTCAGCGTACCTCGGTAATAAATGGCATATGCTGAGTTCTGTGGCATAGTTTTGTGAAATTGCCCAAGTCCCAGTGCAGGATCTCATTAAAAGCTAAAGGGAGAAGGACGGGGAGTGATTACATGGTACAATAAGCAAGATGCAAAACGCACAGCCTCTGAACAAGACAAACCCTGGCCAGAACACTTCAGGCATGTGGAACAAAGCGGTAAAACAAAATGTGTTGGTGGTTAGTACATAACAATGTGAGTCATCCACAGTGAGCAGAACTCAAAAACTCGGCTGCTTTTGCATAATCTGAGGGTGAGAAGCTATAGTTGGAGTCTGAGCATGGAAATTAAAAGCTAAGATATCCTAACAAAGCTCTGTCTTTGTGCAGTTAATAATATCGTAGTGGTCATACGACAAATGACAACTGAAGCTTTTTTTGTTTAGTTGCCGACGTTTCTCTAGCTGCTTTTTTTACCAGAAAACCAGAAAGAACAATTATATGTAGGCTGCAGTCTTCAAGTGTCTATAAATTAATGTAACAACTATCACATAATTAGCTAATCGACATACCATGTGCAGCTGTGGGTACTGACTCCCTGTCAATGAACCTCTGTCCTGACACAGACAGCGTCTTTGTCTCGATTTCAACTTCATTCATCGCTATTGTTCTGCATATTTATGTAGCAGCAAGTTCAACAAGTTCATACTTCAAGCTGGTGATTTGCTCTAAAATTTCTTTACTGAAGGAGTGGTCAGGCATTGGAACAGGCTGCCCAGGGAGGTGGTGGAGTCCCCGTCCCTGGAGGTGTTCAAAAAATGTGTGGATGTGGCACTTCAGGATGTGGCTTAGTAGGCATGGTGGTGTTGGGTTGACGGTTGGACTTGATGATCTTAGAGGTCTTTTCCAATCTATGATTGTATAAAATTAATTGTGAAAAGATAGTATTTTCTGGTCATTTTGTTGAAAAAATTACTTCTTTGATATTAGTAGGTTTTTGAGGCTGATATGAACAATGTTACTGAGACAAGCTCTTCTGTCCAGCTATGGTTAAAAATTGTTGGAATTCCAGTCTTGCTATATTTACATTTCTTTATTTGTACTACTTCCAGATCTTTGAAGATACTAATTAGGAGCAGTGTTTCAATCTTTTTTTTTTTTTTTTTTTTTTTTGTTAGCTGTGACATAAAAAGCAGGGCACTGTAAGAAGAAGGCTTACTTGAAAGTGAAATTATTGGCTATAATGCCTTTGTAGATGAGTAGCTAGTCAATTGTCACGTGAGGGGGTGGCCAGTTTCTTATAATAGTAGTCCAAGTCATGATAGTCTAAAGAATAGGTGAAATAAACAGATGTATCTTCATAAAAAAACCCAGAAGAAACATTGTCTTTTATTCACATTTATTTTTTTGATGGAAACATTACTTACATGAAGAAGAAAACGAAGTACGTTTCTATCACCAGTTCTTATACAGCATCAGCTTTTGTAGAAGGGTTCCTGCAAGGTGTACGTGCAAGCATGTCCATGGTTGGCTGTAAGCTCAAATGTGTTTCGCTTGTTCGACGACTTCGGATGCAGTCATTCCCGTATAGGATAGAAAGGATATTTCCTCAAGGACTGCAACATAAACTTAGTTCCCCTTACAGCCCTCTTCTCATGGTACACGATTCCAACATTTTTATCCTCTCATGATGGTAGCCTTCCCACTGACTCCTGTCATATGGTCAGCATATGGCCATATGTCATATAGACAGCAGGTTGAGGGAGGGGATTCTGCCCCTCTGCTCCACTCTGGGAAAACCCCCAGGAGTCCTGAGTCCAGCTCTGGAGCCCTCAGCACCGGACAGATGTGGAGCCATTGGAGCGGGGCCAGAGCAGGGACCCAGAAATGACCCGAGGGC